GAGGGAGGGGGGGGGGGGGGGGAGGGTATATGCACGGAGTTGGGTGGTGTCGTTTTTCCATTTACTTGATGTCCCTACACGTAGTCGACGGCCAAGTCGTGCTCCCCCAAGTCTGTCTGCCGCTGCACCTCCTTCTTGACGCGCTCCTCACCGCGGGCACGCTCACGTGCTGCCTTGAGCTGCATGTTAAACTCCCGGTCATCGTTTTGCTTACCAAGCAGCTCCTCAACAGTGATACCCTGCTTCTTTGCCTCTTCTTCTAGCACGGCTCGCTGCTCCTCCTCGTACTTCGTTTTGAGACCCCGCGACACGCCCTTCTTTACGGCGACAATCTCCCGCTCGACATCCTTCATGCGGGCGCCAACCTTCACCCCTGCCTGATCCCACAGTGGCTGCGGCACGTCGCGCTTCTCCTTCAGGAGGGTCGACAGCTCGCGCAGCGCCTTCAGCTTTTGTTCGCTCATGGTGCAAAGGGCCCGTTGAAAAGTGGGACTATGACCGAAACAAGCAGCGAACCATGAAAGCAAGAAGAGAAGAGGAATGATAAAGTGAAAGCAACCGGAAGAACCACAGCATACACGGGCGTAGCACACCGTAAAAATGGTGTCAAAGTGATACTTATGGCACAAGGTGTGCCGAATACCACACACACACACACAGACACAGACACGAGACTATTGAGGTTCAACTCGTGAATTATCTAGTGCTCCCGTGTCTGTTTCCGCTGTCGTTTGACCTCGCCGCTCCTGGAGGAAGACGTCGATAGGAGTGATGCCGACATCCTCCAATAGCGCTTCGAACGGCTTATCAAGGTACGACTCCCATGGCACGTTGAGGATGCAGGGAATGCGCCGCTGATCGTGACGCTGGCTGGGTGCATTGAGTTCGGCCCATTCCTTGTAGAGCGCCATGTTGCGCATCTGCTGCACGTTCAGCCACGGCATGCCACCGAGCACGGCAAGGAGGCCAAGTGGGAGACCTGTGTGGCGCCACTCCAGTAGCTTTACTGCGAGTTCCTCCTCGACAGTGCGACCACAGCCCGTGCAGGCGTGCACGAAGTCGTGTGTCTCGCGATAGCGCTGCATTACATACGCGAGCACCGGATCTGCGATGCGGGTGACGGGCGTGCGGCCGCTGGGGAGGAAGTGGTTGTGATCCATGTAAAGCGCGTAGCGGTGGCCGAATGTTCCTGCCGGCTGCTGGCTGGCGAAGGCGAGTGTGTCATCCGTGACGCGCGGCTGACCCTGGAGGATCATGCGGCCTGTGCGCTCAGCCATCATCGACTGCTTCATCTGCTCCAGCGCCGTCGCCGCGGTGATCTCACCAACAGCAGCAACGGCGTCGCCATTCGTCGGGTCCCAAATGGCACTCACGCTGGCCGCCACGAACGACGGCAGCGATCGCGCGGCTCCCGCCACGCCACCGAGTAGCTGCAGCCCCGGCACCGACATTTGCTTCAAGACACTCGTAACGTGGCAGTGCGGGGACAAGGGCACAGAATACTGCGAGCACTTCAATGCAGCACAGGGCGCACAATGCTATTGCCCAGAGAGGTACAACTGAAACATCGTTCACCACGGCTATGACTACGGAGAGAATCCCCGGCACGCCTTCAGACAGACACCACGAACGTAAAAATAAACAACAGCTAGCTCCATCGATAGTAAGACAAGAAAATCAAAACCCACTAGACGGCGCACGCGGCAGCCACACTCCACCTGTGGTGGCTGCATCAGCTGCAAGGGCAAACAGACGACAGGAAACATCGCCGTAATACAGCTCAGGTTCATTTTTTCCATGACTGTGTGTGTGTGTGAGACAGCTACGGAGGCACACGTGCAACTGCGTCAGTCATGCTGAGCGCACCATGGTGGGCGAGCCACGGACAAGAGACGCGGTGGTGTTCCCCCACACGAGCACGCAACGCAGAACGAAGCAAACGGAGAGTAGAAGTTCGGTTCTCTTCCCATGACGTGCACCAACAGGAGGTCAGTGGGTGTATCTCATTGACAAAGCCCAGCAGCGGCCCGCAAGACGTGCAGCACGCCGCTGTAACAGCAGCACCAACAACGAAAAGCAAAAGCGGCAACGCCTGCCAGCAGAAACAACACGTCGAAACGCTACCAAAGACGTCGCTGCGGTCCCCGCCACAGAGGGCTTCCCGCGGCCGAGGCGGATCTTCTTCAAGAAAGCAGCAGCACCTGAAACCACCCCCCAAAAAATATTCGGACGCTCCACCTCAACACCGGCACATCTCCACTTTCTATGTACTTTTAATCCTGCAGGAAGCGGCTGACGGGAGTCACCAGGAGGGCCATTTATGTGCAGGCACGCAGTGTTTGCGCGGGAATAATCTTGACACACGGCTGGTACAAGCCTCGTCGCGGGGGCCACACAACACGTGCGCGGCCGCCCACGACTCGATCTCAGAGAGGGGCGCAACAAGTGAAGGAGAGGGAGGAGCGAAAATAAGGCCAGGCGGCGACAACAGCTCCCGTACCACTGGGAGCGGGCGGAAAGGAAGAAGAAAGAACAAAAACAGAGCGGTGCTTCTCTCATCCTCTTATGCGTCCTGTTCATTCCCGAAGAAACGTCATTGTCGTAATAATCCACTCGCGTTCAGAGACACAATTATTGACTTGTGACAGCCTCCAACCGTCCTGCAGCAGCGCCTCTGCCACGACGCGGCGGTCGCCGTCAACACTACGCGAGAAGTCTCCTGCCCACCAGCGCTGCTGCTCGCCACCCGCTCCACCTGCGGGCGTGCTCTTGACGAGGAACTGCTCTAGCAGGTACCGCATCTTCACACGCGTGTTGAGCTGCGCCGCCACGTCGTCGNCGGTCGCCGTCAACACTACGCGAGAAGTCTCCTGCCCACCAGCGCTGCTGCTCGCCACCCGCCCCACCTGCGGGCGTGCTCTTGACGAGGAACTGCTCTAGCAGGTACCGCATCTTCACACGCGTGTTGAGCTGCGCCGCCACGTCGTCGGTGCAGAGCAGGCGGCAGGTGACGCTGTCGGGCCCCCGCGCATCACCAAATCGCTTAAAGTGCTCCCACACCTCCACGTACGTCATCTCCCTCGCGAGCCGCGGCACCGTCAGCCTCAGCATCCACCTTGCTGCCTTCCTGTCATGGCGCAGAGAAAAAGGAAAAACGAAAGGAAAGTCCACGGCCCCACTACTCCACCGCGGCAGGCCCGAGGACGCGTAACTGCACAATCATTTAGCAACGTCACCACTGGCGGCGGTTCGAACCGTGCCTCCCACGAGCAGCAGCAGAAGCTCCACCACCACCACCACCACCGCCGCCGCCGCGGTTCCCGTTGTGGCCGTATCTCGGGCGCTGACCGCTCATGTAATGCCCACCTCTGAATGGAATCGCACCACCGTCGAAGAAAACGTCCTCTGGGTCCACGTGCTCGCCCTCGTCGCTACATCCGTAGCCGTACGGATCGTCGTCAACGTCGTCGCCAAAATCTGGAAAATCAAAGTCAGGGGACTCGGCGTAGTAATACCCTCGTGGACGCCGCTGCGACGGTCGTGACGAACGTTTCTTGTCGTCATTCCAGCGGTTGAACTCAGCAATGACGTCAGACGCCTGCTTTCCAAGCGCGTTAGCAATGAAATCAAAACTCTTTCCGTCTTGGTACATGTTTACCATCGCCTGTAAATCAGCGTCAGGCCATGTTGTCGTCTTTCGGGGCTTGCCGCCACTTTTGGGATGGCGGCGGTTATCCCCATACGTCTTTTTCTGTCCACCTCTTGGTGCCTCGGTGCCTTGCTGGTAGTTGTGGCGCCGTTTGTTTTCGTGAGCGGCGGCCTGCGCGAAGGCCTCGTTCTCTGCCTGGCGACGCATCTCGTCCCACATCATCTCGTAAACAAGTGGGTTAAGATCTTCATGCCAGGGGTGGTACGGCTCATCGTTTGTGGTATAGTACGCATGCCCATAACTGCTGTTGTTGCTGCTGCTGGAGGAGGACGGCCGTGAGCCACCGGGTAGGACACCCCCCGCCTTGTGGAACATGTTGAGCGTAGCGTAGGCATTGTTGATGTTCACCATGCGCTGCGACGCGTCGTTGGCACTCCCGCCGCTTACGTCAGGGTGATGCTGCTTCGCAAGCTCAATGTAGCGCTTCTTCACTTCCTGGAATGGAGACGATGTGGCGACGCCGAGCGCCGCGTATGCGCTGCGCACTTCGTCCTCTGTTGGCGTCTGCGTGGCTGTGCGCCGCCGCTGCAGGAACGCAGCCGTGTGGGAAAAACCCAAGCCACCCCCGAGTGCAGCCCAACTGCGCATATGCCTATCAGAGGAAATAACTGCGGACGCACAGCAGTGACGCAAACCAAACGAAGCAAAACAAAAAAAAAAGAACAAAAAACAAAAATAAGGCACGCGTGTGGCACGACAAGAAAGACAGAAGGATGCAAGAAGGGTCCCAAAAACACGAGAAGGAGGGGAGGGGGGTGGGGGAGGAGAGACATACATCGACAGCCTATTTGCCCAGGCATTTGAAAGAACATTTCCCGTCAACGCGACGATCCTCTCTTCTCTTCACCACATATGACAACCCACTGATAAACGACAATGCACACACACAACCACACACGAAAAAAAAAAAAGCAGAAAGGCGATGACGATATCCGGCTCAAAGATCCTCATTGGGTGTCCGCTCAGCCTTCTGACTCCACCCATGAAACCCCTCCGAAAAATATGTTGCGATCTTGTAGCCCAACCGCTCCACTACCTCAACAGCTGTTGCGGCACGGCCACTGCGCTGGTCGTAGAACACCATCTTCTCGGACCTGCGCGGCATGCGGGAGTTGTACTTTCCCTGGAACTCCGCCGCGTTCATGCGAAACGCCTGGCGCACTTCACCCGATGGGATGTGCACAGAGAACGGGATGGAACCATACTGGTCCACCTCGAATTTGTCACGCACGTCGATGATGAACACATCCTTGTTCTTCCCCTCTCGTTTGCTCTTTACGAGCGCCTCCATCTCGAACTGGCTGAGCGCCTTCTTCTGCTCATAGTTCTCATATGATGTACCCTGGCCCATCCTCAAGACTACACAACGGCACGAGGCAGCGAGATACAACAAAGCGGAGAGACACACAACACATGTGACATCATAAACGAACATATTCAACGCATCACGAGCACCACACTTCCCGCACTTATCAGTTAAACCCGAGCTGAGTTGCTGCAGTTCAGAACTGAGCCCATCGCACAACACACTGGGTCCCCCCCCCCCGCCGGAATTGAAACGCCGGCCGCCACAAGGTCAACGCCAACAACACTGACAAAGCATCACTGTGCCTTGCTTGCTGTGCCGTCCCCGGCACTAGAGGGCCCACCGTAGCGGTAGTGCCACTCGGCAAAGCTCCCGGAAAAGTTTCTTGCTCCGCTAAAACCCAATCCCTCCGCGATTTCAACGGCGACGGCAGACCGCACGCCGTGAGCGCAATAGAATATAATTTGCGTCACCTCTTTCTTTGGCTTCGCCACACCGAATATTTCTGTAAACTCGTCCGTCTCCACCGTGTCGTCAAGCGCCGCCTCCAGCATTTTGAGTGGGATATTCACAGCTGTTGGAATGACACCTGTAGCTGCGACCTCGCCCGTGGAGCGGACGTCCACAAGGAGCGTGTTTTCCACCACGGGGGCCCTGTCGAGTTTCGCGCGCACCACCGCCGCCACTTGCTCTGCGGTGATGTGCACCCGAAGAGCCCGCGCCAGTGCAAACATCTCCCTTTTTTTTTTGCGGGGACAGAAACAATAAACCAAAAAACAAAGGAAAGTGCTGGTGTGCTGCCGACCCCTTTCACTACACACGAAATCCTCTTCACATACATATGCAGATGCACACAGACCCAGAGCGAGAGAGAGAGAAAGACATCTACATGCCAAGAAAGACAAGAATAGAACGGTGCGGAGGGGAAAGCCTCCTATACGCCCTTGCCTTTCGTGGAAAGATTGGACCATTCGTCCCAGCCACCCAAGTACACTTCCGTGTTGTGATAACCGCACTGAGTAGCGATCGCCGCCGCCTGCTCTGCCCGGCTGCCCATCTTGCAGTACATGACAAGCGTTTCGCTATGTAGCGGCTTTGGGGCCTCATATTTATTCAGAAAGGATTCCTGGTCGTTTTTCAGCGCACACTCAAGCTGATCAAGCGGTATGTTTATGGCAAGTGGAATGAGACCGGTGACCTGCACCTCATCCTGCCCCCTTACATCAATCAAGTGCGTGCGACTCAGGCGCCCTTGGCGCTTGCTCGCAATGAGTGCCTTCATGGCCTCATGGGTGAGACGCCGCTGCATGGCAATGAAGCGCCGCTGCATGGCAATGAAGCGCCGCTTTCCTATTCACTCAGGGTGAAAGGAAAAAAAAAAAGGAGCCCACAAGGCAAAACAACAACAACAGACAAGAGCGCATGGAGAGTGATGCAAAACGGCAAGCTCAACGTTACAAGGTGGAGCAGCAAAGGTTTCGCTCCGGTCATTTTTGCACCACCAAATGGCGTGGTTAAGGGAAATGAAAGGGAGTATCGCACAGTAACAACAACAAAAAAAGGGTGGTGTGCGATTAACTGCTACCGCGCACAAGAAGGGCCACGGTATTTAGGGGGGATCCAATAAATTTATAACGGAACTCAACACCTTTGCTTTTGGTAAGGGCGAGTAGGGATGGAGTCCTTCTAACATGCACAGAGTCCGTGCAGTACGCCGCAGCGTGCAGTGTGGTAAAACACGCCGCTGCGACGTCTTCGTACGCGACACGTACCTCCTCGCGCAGGAGATAGTGATGCCGATCCATAGTGTCGGCCTCTATGATGAACACACAGTGCTTCGCGAGCGAAGCCCAGAAACTAATGCGAGCTTCTGCCTCCTCGTCAGATTCCATGGCGGCAAGTACGTGCTGGAGAATGACAAAGTCGGCATCCACATCACTGACATCGTCACCATCGAACACAAATGTGATTGTCACACAACCGAATGAGAGAGGCGATGTGACGGCGCCATTGCGGCAGGGGCCTGCCAACAGACGCTGCGCCGCAGGGTTCTTCAACAGTCGCGCCGCTTCGTCCGACATCGTAGTGGGGACGTTTCTGTTCGCCCCCTGTCCTGATGCTGCGCGACGCGGCAAGACAACAAGAAGGTGGATACGCTCCGTTGGGTCGGCTGCTGCCGTCACTCCGTTTGCACACGGCGCGAGACTCAGGCGCTGCGCATTTTCTTCCGGCCGCACCCAACCGTTTTTCTCAAAGTCAACTTCGCGATCTTCGTGCTGGTAGTCGAACGCGTCATTCTGCAGCCACCCGCTTGTGTGCGCCACACGAGACACACAACCCCGACGGCGGGCCTCCTCGATCTGCCGTTTTCTCTCCAAACGTCGCTGCTGTTCTTCCGGTGGCATGTCCTTCAAATACCGTGTCCCCCCAAAGTGGAAGTCTTTTAACTTGACGTTTAGTTTACGCATGCCCATGGCATCGCGTGGCATGCCGATCTCAGTGGCGCAAGCAGTATTCAGATGCGCCGCGAACAGCATCCAGAAGGATTGCTCTTCAGCTTTAGACGGGTTCTCGTTGTCCAGGATCCCTAGCATCATTTGTTTGGCCACCTCACATAGATCAAAGAAGGCTGCATTCATCGCGGAAGTGTTGTTCCAGTTGAACCTTGTGCGCTCTGGGTTGTTCCGCAGCAGCCGTTCCCAGTCTTCCTTCACAAGCTGCAGCCAAAGAGCACGGCTCTTACTCCACATACCCACAAGTTCCGGCCCGAGCTCGTTCGCCAAGTTCTCTTCCTCAAAGAAATACTGCCGTTCTTCAGCAGCCTTAAGGACGTCGCTCGCCTCTGTAAATCCACCGGAAGGCGGCGCTTTCACGACAACTGGCAAGTGAACAGGGATAAGTTGCTCCTTTCCACGTGGGAGTAGACCATCATCCGTCCGGAGAGGTTCACCAAACAAAACCACTCCAAATTCTGGTTTCTCGAGTAGCAATTCATGGAGCCGCTGTAGTTTTGTGACACAGCTATGCAAGGATAGCACACCTGCTGCACCCCCAAAGGGTGTAAGCTGCGGCGGGAAAGTTGGCGCGGGTTTATTGAAGTTGTCACCATTGTCTTTCTGAACAATAGCATCTACTACGGGTGGAGGCACGGCACCAATCTCTCTCGCGCGCACGAGTCGTCGCTTGTACTCTGTGACGCAGGATGCTTCCCCCAGTGCCGCCCTGTAGTAGAACACACATGTCAGCCGATCCCAATCATCCTTGGGGTGATTGACCTCAGGCTCTGTATTGGAATGGAAAAAATGTGTATTGAAGAGTAGGACATCCCGTGGCTGCATGCGGAAGCACACACCAAAGTCGTCAAGTGCGAGGGAAAGGCCCTTAAAATTGCCCTCCAGTACGGCCAGCACACCGTAGCCCATGTCAAAATCACCGGCATCGGTGTGCGAGGCAGTTCGAAACCGCTGGTTAATGGTAAGAGTGGAAAAGGGTGACCCATGAATGCGAACAACGTCAGGTACCGCGGCATCCTGTGCGGCCCAGTGCTCCGGCAAGACAGCCTTGTAGATGGCACTAACGTACTCAATCATAGGAAAGACGCCAGGCCACAGCTGTACGTGCTCATGTGTAAAGGAAGTCTTGCGGCACTTCAGCTCCACAGGGGAGCCACGATAGTCAAAGTACCCTGCAATGCCACTGAGGGGTGCCTGCCCCCCAAACATGTTTGACCGCAGGGACGTCTTCGTTGCTGCTGGGCGCAGAACGTCAGCTGCCATGGCAGCGGCAAATGACGGCAGTGCCCCCGGCAGAAGCACACCGCAAATTTTTCCCTTGGCATCCCTGAAGACACTGGCAGTATGAAAGTCAATGGTATGGTCGGCATTGTCGTGGAACGGGTGCTTTTTGACAGCTTCACTGAACGCCTTCTCAACCTCTTCCATTGTGTGTTCCGCCTGCTTGGGAGCCACCAGGCCGGTGAGGTCAAGGCGCCCCTTCTTTGGCTTCGGTGTGAGGTCAGAGTCTGCCCTCGACCCCTCCACCGCCGCTACCGCCGCCGCCGCCTCAGAGCACCGCTTCTGTAATTTTGGTGCCATGTGAAAAGAAGGTCACACACACCTTGTCAAAAATGACTGATAGGCAGAGTATTCTATGAGTCTGTATATGTGTGCACGTGCTTGTGTATTTGAGTATGTTTGTTTATGCGTGTCTATGTACGTGTACGTGCACGGCTTCCGGATATCGTCTTCTGTAACACCATCATGGGAGACAATGGAGACAGAGACAGAGACAGAGAGAGAGAAAGTGAATGAGTGAGTGGGTGAGAGGACATCATCCACATCAACTGCACCACAAACCATTAGCAGCAGAGTGTGAATGTGCACATAAGTAGAAGGACATATAATTGGTCATTTCCTCTACGTTTGCTTTTACTTTATGATTGTAGATGATGCCGTTGAGAAAGATGGCACCTAAGAAGGAAAACAGACGTACAGGGTCACCCAAAGACGCAAATTAAAAGAGCAGCCCCGGCAACCAAACACACACACAGAAAAAAATGATAAAAAATCCTCTTTAAGAAGAAAGGTAAGGTCCGCCTTTAAGGGGCAAAAATCAGATATACACAGATGGCCATAAGAGCAATCAGAATCGCAATGGTTGAGAAGTTACTCTTGGTGCCATGCATAGGGGGCTTCATATTTGCGGCGTCGTCGGGGTGCAGCTCGCCGACGTAGTACTTCTCCAGCTGGTTTCTGGCGAAATCGCTGTGCCCAACCGCGTTGAAGTCATCCGTACCGTCTCGCCCCCCAGCACCAGTGAGTGAGTCAACACCACCCGGGTGCTGGTCGACGAACGAGGTGATATTGTACACCTTCTGGTTAATAATCATCCAAAGATCGTTCTCTGCCTTGTGCTTTACCACCTCGCTCAGAGGGATCATCTTCGGTGTGTCAGACATATTTTCTTCTTCTTTATCCACGAAGCGATGTGCGTACTCTCTTTTCTTCTTAGGCGCAAGTTTGGAAGAGCAACATGCAGAAGGAAAAGAAAAGAACAAGAAAAACAAAAGCAGTGTATGCATCTGTGTGTGTGTGTGTGTGGTCGAGGAGCCCCAAGAGTCCTCTGCACGACAGGCTGCACAACAGGAATAGAGCGCCCGAGGGACTACGACGCCCGACTTACGTTGCGGCTCAAGTCTCACTGTGAGCCCCGCCGGAGATGTCTGTTGAGCTGCAGCACCGCCCGCGCAACGGCGGCGAACTCTACCAGCCCGATCCGCCGCACCGCGTGCTGCTGGAATCCGTCGAACGATGCGGGCGGCGGCAGCCCTGCCTCTCGGTGAAGCCGACACTCGATGCTGTACAGCTCCGCGTTCATTTTGCCCTGCAGCACATCCTTTGGGATACCGCAGCGGATCCCCCCTGATCGGCGCTGGCGTTCCCGCTCCCGCTTCTGCGCCTTGAAGACACGCATCTCCACCTTCTCCAGGTTGGCGCTGAGGTCCTTCTGACAGGCCTTCATTCGCCGCTCACGAATGCTCTTCCTCGCCCGCCTCACGAGCTTCATCGTTGCGAGGCCGCTGTTCCCTTTTCGTTTGTGTGTGTGTGAGTCTGTGCGCGTGTGAGTGGGATGCTCGTACCTGCGCATGCGCGATCCACGCAAACAACAGGCAGAACGAGCAAAACAACGACAAAAAGAAAAGAGCAACGAAAAGGAATGATGCAATTTTGCGTGCCACGTCGGGCAACCACATATCCAAACGGCAACCACACAAAGCTCCTGCCCTTGGTGAAAGGAACCAGAAAAAATATATATATGCCACTCGCGCTGTACATGTAGCCGACAATAATAACAATAGAAGAAACATACTTTACATCAGCGAGTTGCCTTTCCTCTATTATGAAGTGAGGGCTTCGCAGCCCAGAAAGCACACATACGGGATCGGAAGAGGCTGCTCGTGCTGCTGCTTCTGCAGCATGCGGAACTTGCGTAAGGAACACGTACTCTTCACTTCGTACAGGTATTCGACATGATCCACTTCCAGCATGCGGTAACTGAAAAGGTACCCCACGGGAAGTTGCCACCTTAAGCTCCGTACCACGATGCTGTTGATCCAGTGCGTTATTTGCGCCTTGTCTGAAGACTCACTGCTGTTGAAAACGAGGCGGGCACCTCTAGAGGTGATGCCAACACTGATGGTGAGGCCGCATCCGGCTGGACGGCATTTCTCTATTTCCTGAATGAGCGCCTCTTTGATAAGACCATCAATGCCTTTGTTGTTGCACGTAAACAGAATGTAAATCGTGTTCTTGAACGAGATTTCCTTCAAGGGGCCACCGAACGTGATAATGCTTTTGAATACGCTGAACATATCCGACTGCACATGAGAGCTCCCCATTCCATACCGCATAACAACGTTTATCTCCTTGGCCTCCCTCTCGCGGCGCAACCGCTCTCGGCCGTCGGAATCCAGAACAATGTTTCGCACCGGAATCAGTTCCGCAGTGAACGGCACCTCACGATCAAGTTCTTCACGCAGGGCTCTGAACGCCTCTCTGCTGCAAACAGATTGCATCTTCGACACCACGTACGTCGCAAAGGACCTCCAGTCTCTTTCAGAGGAGTCCGTTTCAATGCCGCCCTTCAGCACGGCATACCTGGAATGGGCGGGGACGCACGGTAGGCGACCGTCAAAGGCCTTCCGGAGAACGTTCGACAAGATGCGGCGCTGCTGAGGCTTGTATGGGAATCTCAGCGTGTAGCCTGCGCTGCTCGCCACACACGCGAAGCCACATGCCATTGGTGTGACGGGCTCCAGATCAAAAGCAACGATTCGCTGTAGCCCCATTGGGGGCATGCTGCGCTGAAGAATAATGTGCAGCAACTCCTCCACACTGTAAGTGGTGCTCGCGTATGGCTCGACAAGCTTTGCCTCACATGGAAGGATAAAGTTCATTCCTTGAGGATCCCGCTTATATGTGCGCTCATACTCTTCGGTTGCCTCAATGGCTAGCTTCATTTCGCGAATTATCATCATCACTTCAGTGTCATACTCCTCCGAAGTCAATTCACGCATGTTTTCCTCCTCCTTTTCGGTTTCCGCGACAGACATGCGGAACAACTCTTCTTGTTGCCGCGCAGCCAATTCTGCTTCCTGCATAATCTTCTTGTTCATCACCGAAGTTTTTTTGCGCTTCATTTTTCGAACCTTTGGAGGAGGAAGTTCTTCCCTAAATGCCTGCATGAGCCTTCGGTACATCACCCCGCTCTCCCCTTCAAGCGCAGCTCGCTGCGCGCCTTCCCAAATAGAAATATGGAGAGTCTCCAGCGAGACAATTAGCGGCTGGCGGATTGACATCATCCCACCATACCCACTGATGTACACAAAGCTCGACGCATCCTCATCGATTTCTGAAAGAGCCTTCATTAATACGGGCTTCTCTGCATTGGGTATGTGATTGACCACGTAACCCTGCCTGGTCAACATATCGGACAGCTCGTCAATGTTGTCTTGGATAGGATTGACCGCCTCACATGCAACCTGGTGCAACGTAATGAGAAGTGCAGAGAGCTTTGTCTTTGCTTTTACAATAGGATTCAGGCGCAGTGCACATATCTCCTCCACCTTCCGCTCTCGTATTTGTTTTTCACTCTCTAATCGCATTGCTTCTTGACGTGCTTGTCGCGCCCTCCAGTTGCGTTGTATCATGATTGATGCCTTCTCCTTTGTTCCATTACACAGACGCCTGTTGAAAAGTGCAATGGATGCCGCCTCGTCAGCTGTGAGGTGATCCATAAAGTGATGAATGATGTTAAGGTTGGAGCCCATTTCAGCGTTAAGAAGATAGTTGTGCAGCACGGCGCAGAGAAACCATGGCTTTCCACTGTTCTGCATTGATCGAATCATATCCTCCGACACAATAGTCTTTCCGCTGACATTCAATGGGCCCAATTTTGCGGTTGTGAAGGGTTTCAGTGTGTCGCTCACAAGAACACCCTCTACGCCCTGCACCATCTGATTGAGCAAAATTTCCCGTCGTCCCTTGGTACCTGAAACAGCGTATGCATACTGCCATTTGAGCATGCTACGGTTGTATGTGGCGTCTAATGGAAGCACCGGGCCATGAAGATTCAAAAGCGTTACATGACAGTCACCGATTCGGATAACAAACATAAAGTGACCGAGAGGCTTATCTGCGGCGAGTGCGCTATTGATTATCTCTTCAAACTGCACGAGGGTATCCACTGACCTGAAACAGCTGTTGGGCAGGGTTCGCCATGTCTTCCATTGTGGTCGCGTGTCAGAGATGTGATTCTCAACCACGTCTAGCTCGACATTTACTCCTCCCAAAATGTCATAGGCCACTTCGCGCGCGACACCTGCCGCAGTGAAATCACATGTAAATACAACGGCGGCCAGAGACACCTCATTATTCTTGTGGATAATTATTTCACCCTGTCCTGAAATGTCGGTACCGTAGGAGTCTCTCTCGTCCATCTGTGGAAACCAAAAGACATCGCTGCGACGGACAACGTGGGTCACTGGGCTGATGAGAAGCCCATGATTCCGACGGCCTGAAAGGTCCTGTAGCACATATGCCCCTGGTCCCTCGTCCATGTTCAACGTTGCAAGGGGAACTCCACGAACAGATACGAAGAAGCGACAAATCTCACCAAAGAAAGGTCGTTTAACCTTATAGTTGCGCGTGTTATGACCACCGAGACACACCCAATCGACAAATGGAAGGAACTTTCTTGGTCCCTCCCTTACAAGATACAGGAGCTCCTGAGCCACACCATCAACCTTGACTCTGTAGGTGTTTGCCTCACTGTCAATGCACTTCCAAACTATTGTATGCCACTGGCCATCCATTAGGTTCTGATGCTCACTCCCTCGAAGCAACGCTGAACAACATGCGCCAAATGCATCAACAAGATAGAAAGTTACGTTATACTCATGAAAGCGGAATCGCTCTTTTCCAAAAACAGGCTCCGTGTTCATTACAATACCGAACTCCTGCATCCTGCCTTGTCTGTCCGTCACACCAATCAGACTCATCGCACGGTTGTTAATAACTGTCCTGAAGCGAATTTCTACTCTCCAATTCTGCATCAGCTCCCCAAGGATACCAAGTGTGCCCAAATTCACAACAAGGTTTCCATCCAAAGAAGGGGCGCTGCGTGGCAGAACACCTGTTTGTTTCTCAAGATCCAATAATGTTTCAAGATGTTCTGCAGGAATGGTTCGTGTAGCTTCCTTCAACTTTCCTTCTTCTACAAACAGTGGCCATCGAACAACCGGCTTGTATCCTTCAGCAGTGCCTACCCCAAAGCGTACCTCAAAAATCGTCCCACGAAATACACAACATGGTGAGTTTGATTCATCCAGATAACCACCAACAAACAGACGATGAGGCCAGGCATTGAAAAATATAGGGTATTCCTGCTGCACAATTTGCAGCGAAGCAGGACGGCCATCAAACACACACTCCAAATTGCCTTCTTCGAGACTCTGCACGTTGATCATAAAGTGATGAAAGGGCTCCTCATCAGTCGAAGAGGGGAGACGCTCTCTCAACGGCATCATGCACTCTAGTACCCGGTTGGTACCATCCCGGACGTAAACACAAATGGCTTCGGACATCTCCTCATAACGGTTTAAACTAATTTGGAACAACTGGCCCAGATCCGCACGTTGCCCATCCATGATATGAATGAGTACACGTTTTTCAACCGATTCACCTGGATCAATTCGGAACCAGAAATCTAGTAACAACCCCTTCACAACATCCTCAAACTTTGGTATTCCTGGAAGCGCCATCACGGATGATTCTCCATTAAAGACGTAATACTGTCCTTCCTTCCCCCAACCATTGCCTGCAAGGGGTTCCACAGGCTCCCCATCAGTGAGATCACCAAGCACTTCCAAGACGCTGAATGTTGACCTCCGCTGAAGGCGTGAGCCATAGTAAGAGTTTCTGCCACTTGAAAAACGTGTACGGCGTGATGTTGGGCTTGGGGGGGGAAAACGCATCGGAGGCAGCTTCGAAAAAGCATCTGGTATGAGGCTGGAGCCTTTTGTACATGGAGGCACAAGCTCGCCATGGTGCGCAGCAGTCAGCAAAGTAAACCGTTCCGCAGCCTTCTTTCCAGAAGCGAGCAAAAACTTATGTTCTTTTCGAAGTTTCCGCAACTTCCGTGACAGATTGGCAGAGAACTTGACACTCGCAGAAGGAGTATTCTCCACTTCTTTGGTGACCTTGGCGTATTCTTTTATGGCATGCACGTTGGATTCATTTTCCAGCTGGAGAAGGCGCTGCATCTGCTTCTCCTTTGCTATTTCATCCGCGACAATTTGCATTGCATTCTCGGCGGATCCTTCTATGCTCTTCTGAAGTGATCGAAGAATTCTCTCTACAAATACTTCAGCATGAGCACCTCGGTTAACGATGGTGACGTTCTCTCGTGCTGCGACACGCGTTCCCACATCAGCCATAAGTACCTCTAGCACATCAGGCTCTCCATTCGCCCTGGGAGATGCATCCTCTTTCCTGCCATCAATCAACCCGTCGAACGAGGTCACGAAGAACGGGGTCTGGGAGGAGTCATCCAACGATGTGTTTTGATACTCCGTTTCCGCATCCAGGGGATCGGGTGGTGCTTGACGACTGTCGTAAAACACCGCAAGGTGCCCCTTGAATGTAGTTACCTGGTATCTCTCGTTTTTATTATCAGCCTTGCGGTTCTCCTCACCGCCAACGATTGAGAGAATAAGCACCATACCAGTTCTTTTCTTTGGTTTCCCTTTATGCAGGCGAAAACATGTTGACATTCAAATACATGAAAAAAAAACCGGAAAAATATACCACGAAAAGACCACAGAGTCACCAAGAGAGTTCATTACTTAGACATACGTTCATGAGAAACACCAATAAAGCCGATCTGTACATTGAAAGACACAACAACAACAGCAAAAAGGAACCACAGAATTTACTTGGCCACGCTTTTGCCGCGTTTCTTCTTTATGCTCCTTCCGTTCTGTTCCAGTGCGTTCAGAATCGCGAGGAAATGATTTGAGTCCATCCGCTCACAGACGCGAAATTGAACCAGTCGCTTGTTCTTCAGTATGGCGGCAGCGATCAGTGGGGCGGCCTCTGGCACCACCACATTGAAATCCATGTCTACCGATGTCAGCGAGCTGCTGCACTCCGCGCCTTGGCAGAGCGCCTCCACAGCTTTCCAGGATCCACCGAAACGGGTGTCCGCAACGTCAATGGACTCGATGCGATTACTCATACCCAAAGCGGAGCCAATGTGCTTTATGCCCTCAGGGCCCAAAGCATTTCCCCGAAGGGAAAGTATACGAACATTGGAGCATCGTAAGACGGCCTTTGCGAGCTCATCGGCACCGGCGGGCCCGATTTCACAATACTGCAAAGAAAGGTCTTCTAGTGACCCATTCCAACGCATTCCACCAGCGATTGCNTGGGCTCCAGCATCACCCAAAGGGTTAAAATCCAGTACACAACGAGTAATAGTGTCGTTCTCACTCAGTAGGTTAGCAATATGTTTGGCGCCACTGGGCCCTATTCGACACCCAGGTACCTCGAGGCACTGTATACCGAAAGGATTCCTGTCCGGGGACGGCTTGTAGGAACGAATAAAGTCTACAATAGCAAGTATACCCTCATCGCCAACAGCGCAGTGGTGCAGCTGAATTACGCGAAGAAATGGGTAAACTGGCAGAATTTCCTTGAAGAGCAGCTTCACCTCGGTGTATGGGATTTCATTGTACACGAACAAAGGAACTGTGGGAACATCCGGCTGCTCACCATCTTTCACCCGCTGACATTCCAGTTTGATGCGTTTTATGAAAGGTGCCATGCATTCTCCGAGTGCGCTACAAGCCTCTTGCAATCGTCGCAAATCCACATCGACGTTTAACTCCTGAGAAAGAGGTATAACTACCGTCTTCACCTTTTCCTTCTGGGGAGGGGGCTTCTTACTCATTGCTCCCCGCTCTGTGGAAGGCCGTCAAAGAAGGCCAACAAAAAAAAAAAGAACAAAAAAAGACCCACCCCAAAGTGACATTCATGGAGATGGGCGAAAAGAAGGCAAACTCAGGTATGAAAAAGAAAAAAAAAAAAGATAACAAGGGGAACCGGAAGAGGAAGAAAATTCCACACAGGTCAATTTCTCTTGCTGGTGAGACGCGCAGTCACTTTGCCTTTACATAAACCAGCCTCGGCCCTGGCCTACGCTTCTCTAAGGTGAATCATTTGACTGAAAAAAAAGCTGACGGAACTCCAGAAGATCGACTGTACCGTTTTCATCAGCGTCAAGGATGCTAAGAAGCTCCTCGGCGCCAATTGTCTCGGATTCATTTAGACCAAGGGCCCGCTGCAAGTCTTCTAGCAGTGCTGGCACCGTCTCCCTGGCCAGTCGTCCATCTCCGTTGACATCATATTCATTGAAAATGTCCCGAATAACATCACGCCCCTCATTTTCATCGGATGGTGGAGGCTCAATGGCTTCAGCCTTGTTGAGCTCTGTACCAACAAACTCTTCCATTTGCTCGTACTCACGTGATTCGACAAACTGACCATCCTTGTCAAAAGGGGCTGCCTGGCCGCAAAGAGCTGCGAAAAAGTTCGCACTGTACTTGTAGAGGTCCTCTGGCCTGTCCCTGAGAACTGCTTTGGTGTATTGCTTCATTATTGTGCCAAGCTCCGGGGGAACATTGACCTGCTCGATGCAAAAGATGGACTCCATAACTACCCTAGGCTGGACGCCTACACGCACATGGAGGCGGCAAGGGGAAAATAATAGGCACAACGCCACTTCGCAGTGGTGAACACAACAACCACAGAGGACACAAACCACAACTCCGCAAAGGCTTCGGCATTCAATAAAAAAACACCTCAAAGCATATAGTTCACACGCTTCTGCAAGCAAAAAAAAAACAACAACAAGAAAAATAGACGATCATCATCAGATTCTGATATTTTCGTGACTTCTCACAAGGCGCACACACATACTCCTTTCTGACGCATTCCATCTACCAGTCACTGAAGATATTTCCAAATAAGTACTTGAGAATCGCTTTAACAGATGATCGAAATGCTTTTTATTTCTATTTTTCCCCTTTCTTTATCGGCTACAAAAAGAACCACAGGCACGGGCCGCATTAAACATCATGCAGATACCTTAATGACTTCTTCAGTTGCCGTGTCTTCTTTTTTTTCTGTAGCTGGACCAGGCTCTTTATAGCGGTAACGAGCAGCGGAATACCAGCCTCCGGCAGCGAGCGCGATAACGCATCCGGTGCCATCAATGAGGCCCATGGGGTCATGCATGATGAAAACGCCCACGAGAATATTGAAGAACTTTGTCAGATTGTTGATAACAATGAATGTGGCTGCGGAAACAAGTTTCTGAAGTCCAAAACCCGATGTTGAGATCATGAAGCCAAGCACGCACGTGATTCCTATCCAAAACCAACCAAAAGCGGTTACAATTGGCAACAGCGAGCTCACACGCCACACCTCTTCAACGAGAAAGAGAGCAAACACCATTGGTAGTGCAATGGCATTGTTATACAACGCCAATGTGTATTTAGTCGATGACGAAAAATCTGCCACATTGCTCGTCATATGCTTTACAAGAATCCCGTAACAACCTTGTGCGACAACGTTAACAATCATCCAGAACAGTCCAATCATTGTAAAGGTTGAGTTAGCACCACCGTAGATAACCGCTCCCAGGAATATAACAAGCTGTGAGAGAATGATTTCCGTGTTCACACCTTCTCCAAGCACGTAGTACTCCGCCACAGTTGTCACGATAGACCCAAGGTTGCGAAACGTAAGAACAGTAGATAGATTTGCGTACACAAAACTTTTCATACTGGTGTACAGCATCACTGCGAAGAGTCCTGCAACGGGAATCCACTTTCGCAACTTGCTAATGGAAAAAGGCTCCACCTCGGTTCGAAACGGAATTAGAAGAGCAAGTGTGACGATCATCTGCATCAACACCAGGGTGCATGGCAGCGGGAGTGCTACAACTGCAAGCTTATTGCTCAGCATCATCCCAGTCGACGATAGGCTATAGATAGCGACAGCACGAGCGAAACCCGTGTAGTCGTGCATTGTTTATTAAGTAGTGAGACAGCACGGCTAACAGCAAAAACAAAAACAAAGAGAGATGGCCAACAAGAAAGACATGGATGGATCAGACAGCTAAAACAAATAAGATGCCCACAAGATGAATGTTCATTTGAGAAAAATGTAAAATGAGCCAGCTCATACTACTGAGACAAATGGGACAACGTAGCTGCTTGATCCAAAACCACCTGCTGCAACCGTTCCTTTGATAGCAACGCCTCTTCTAAGGAGGCTTGAGCAGCTTCTAGTTCACATAAGCACTTTATTCGTTCATCCTTCTCCTTTCGAAGTTGCTCTTGTACTGATTGAAGCGATGCACTTTTTTCCTGAAGAGCCTCCTTCACCTTATCCATCTCTTCACGAAGTGAGTTGATTCTATTGTCATTCTCACCACTCATCATTCCGCGCACCACGAGGCGAGCATTTGCATCCTCCAACTCCCGCAGGCGACGCGATTCTGTTTCATGGGAAGATTGTAGACGTGAGACGTCTCGTTGGAGTGATTCACACCGCTGCCGAATGAGCATGCATTCGTTTTCTTTTAGAACAATCTGTTTGCTCAGTTCCGCAAGACTCTGTTGAAGCTCCTCCGCCATTCTATCCTTTCTGAGCGAGAACTGCTGCAAATCCTCACTCGTACTTTGCAGTTGTGTCGCCAGCGCTTCCGCTTGCACAACTTTCCGGTGTAGTTGACCGTTTTCGTATTCAAAAGTCTGTAAATCCAGCGAAAGCTGTTGATCTCTATGATGAAGTTGATTCATTTGTTCTTGAAGGAATATGATACCCTGCTCTTTTGATGCCAATGCTGCGCGGGTAGCCTCAAGTTCACGTTCTATAGTTCGTTGTGCATCCATTTGTGATTCCGCCTCTTTCACCGCGTTCTGATATGCCGAAAGAATCTCGCGCAGCTCACCATCCTTCGCCTTCAGGGAGTATGCTAACTGTGCTTCCTGTTGGTGAAGCCGTTGCACCTCCGCGCGAAGCTTTTCGTTTTCCCCTGCAAGTTGAGCAACCTGCTGATTACAGTAATTTTTGTTTGCCACTAGTTGTTCCATGTCTTTTTGGTACTGTTGCAATTGTTCCTCCAAAACATTTTTATTGCGCTCAATGTTCACAGAACTCATCCTCAGCTGCTGTTTTTGTTCCTCCACGAGTGACATTTTGGCAAGTAGCTCTCGCTCAGTTGCCGCGTGTTGGCTACACTTCTGCTGCAGAGAACGTACCTGTAGAGAAAGTTTCTCTGCGTCGTCACTGAGTAGCTTTCTTCTCTCCATTTCCTCCGTGAGACGATTCTTTGTTATTTCGAATGTGGAAACGGCTTCTCGGTGAACAGTAGAAAGATCATCGATGCGAGCCCGTAAATCGTCGCACTCGGCACATTTGAGCTCTAACATATGCGTCAGACTCTGGGCAGAGTGCGCGCCAACATCGGTGGAGTATGTAATTGAGTCTACCTGGCATTCCTTTTCTGCGCAAGGCAAAGTGTCGGTTTGCGTATAAGCAGAGGCGACTGATGCCTCAGTTTGGGTTTCTCCATCAGTCTTTTCAACACGCATCCCACTGCGAATTTGAGCGAGCTGCCTTTGAAGTGACGACCTCTCATCAGAGAGAACTTGAATTACCTCTTGAAGGCTTTTTATCTGACTCCCAGATGCGACAGATTCGTGAGATGCCATGCGCTGGGTTTCGGAAACCTCTTGCTTGCGCTCCTTGAGCACACCTTCCATTTTTCTTATTCTTGCAGAATAATCATTCTTCTCCACAAGAAGAGAGTTTTTCTCCGAGAGGGCAATGGCAAGTTGACTTTCAAGCATTTTGCATCTAGAAACAAGGTCCTCGCCATCCGCCAAACGGTTCCTTCGTGCCCTTAATTGCTCCGTGATGGCACGGTTTTCCTTCTCCTTTTTTTCAAGCTTCTCATTGTATTCGATACTAAGAGCGCGAATCTCCTCCTTGCCAGCTGCACGAACCATCTTCACTTGTTGCTCAAGCCGTTCAACTTCATTATGCAAGAAACCGATTTGCGATAGTAGGTGGGCTGTGTCCTCCCCATGTGGTTCTGTGTGACCTGATGCATTATCCTTGAGGTGACTCTTGAGCTCAGCGTTTTCTTCGAGACAGGCAGCTAACAAGTTGTTCTTCTCATTCAACTGATCCTGTAGCGCAGAGATCATAAGCGGGTCATCAACTTGTGGCACATCGTCGTTGAGCTGCTGCCATGCCTTTTCAGGAAAAACATTAAGACACTTATTTAATGTAACACGTTGTTGGCCGGGGTAGATATCAGGCTTCGTTACAGACTGCTGAAGAAAGTACTTAAGTTGAGCAATCTCGGCTTCCTGAGCTTCACATTCAACTCTCAGGGCAGTATTTTCACTTGAGAGACCTTCATAGACTGCAGCCATACTAGATTCTACAACAACTACTACCAAATTTCCACGAAAGTTAGGAGAAAATGATAAACGCTCCAAAAAAAAAATATACAGTGGAAGAACCTTGTAGGTAACAGCAATCTCCTCAAACCAATACCAAAACCGACACCAAAACATTCACAATTCATTTCTACCTTTGCTGTAGAATTCATCCCGTTGCTTTGAGAACAGCTCCTTTTCCAACGTCTTGATCCTCTTTGCGTTGTATCCTTCAGCTGCAATAACCATCATAGGTACAGTAATAAGACCTACACAAAATCCAAAAGTAAACGCGAGCCCAATTTTAGCTGGAATGCGATTCTTGGGACTCTTGAACGCTACAACAGCTGCAGCAAAGCTACCGGCTATAATCCCAGCGTCCAGACCACGTTGCACAGGCTCGCACGACAAGAAAAAACGCCATTGTTGTGAAAGTGCCTTTCTTCTCGCCTGGCCAATACTAAGACCTTCCTGTTCAATGATATACTGCTTAAGGTCCTTGATGTCAGAATCAGGGTAAATCTTGTTCTCATCCTTTGGACCTTGTTGAATGGCGGTCATCATATCGAGGGTTTCCTTGGACGCAACTTTATAGCGACCTCCTTTAATGAGGTCCTCGATGTTTGTAGACTCTGGAGCATTATCCTCATAGTTAGGAATGCTATCGCTTTTAAGCTTAGGCTGCTTTGTGTTGTTAGATTGCCCCATCTTCTTATAGGAAGAAAACGGATAGCCAATGTGACGGTTCTCACACCTGTTCCCAAACACGGACAGTACATATCAAATATTGTTAATTCCCCAGATACACATACGCAGCAAAAAAGAAAAAAAATATACAATTGTTTCTAAACGGCAGCGTAGCAATAAGTACCGGAAAACAACAAAATCAAGCCGATGAAAAGTTGACTGGTACTTTCAATTTCTTTCCCGAAGTAGTACAGGGAAAAAAAGAATATCAACACCACCCGAACCTGTTTCAAGATACTATAAGCCAAAGGAGTAACATGAAACAGAACCATACCATTACAGGCTTGATACGTACCGTAACTTAATCCAACGACCAGAAACTGCTTCCAGGTGTCCATGTCATATTCTAACAGATGCTTCCCTCGGTACACCAAGACCGGCAGAACAAGAGCAGATGAACCCAGCATCGACATGAAGACATAAATTGAACAAGAAGAAAAGACACTGCTCTCGTCCGGTAACACATGTAGCAAAGGCTTCATCAATGTGGTTCTGAGAGCCAGAGCACAGTTGCTGACAAGCACAAGAGAGTAAGTAAACAACAGCACAAGTATGCCAAAGGATGTATTGGTGTTGCGCTTTAATGACCCAGAAGTCAAAAATGCACCGATACATACAATAAGAACACACATCCAAGTCCTAAAGGTGATCAACTTCGTTGACAATGGATACTCCTCAACGTCTGCAAAAGGATCTTTCGCCGATCTACCTTTCGACAAGGCATTTTTAATCAATTTCTGCGTGCATTCCATAGAAAGAAGACACATTAAAAGTGGCTCAGTCGTCTTCACTGCATAGACATGCGTCATCCCGGAAAAGGTAAAGCTCAGAAACATGCACCACGTTGCCATAACGTTGACAGAAGCGACCGACAAGAGCAGTCTCCACATCATTGGCCTCTCATACAATGTACATGCCAAGGATCGCATATCAGTAAAGGAACCGCGCCTTAGAAGGAGACATGCTCCGGTTGTAAAGAAACAACCCACAAAGTTCGTGAAGAACACAACCTCCAGAACAGAACCCTGGCGCTGCAGTATTGATGCACTTTGAACATCGCACCACAAAACAGACACACACCATACTGTCACAAGAAGACCAACTTTGAGGCACCAGAAAGGCATCACCCTACAGAAAAACCTGCAAAAAAAAAAAGAAAACAACACGGACCTACAGATATATATATAT